TGGGGATCGAACTGGGGTCCTTGCTCTGGCAGGCAGGCGGCGGAACCACTGAGCTAAATCCCTGCCTGTCTAGCTGGGCTTTTTAATCCTCCGTCTGTCACTTTCCTGCCCACCCTGCTGTCCTGCACCTCACCCTGCACACCTGTCCTTCGCTCACCAGTGCTGGGGAACAGACTGCCTGCCCTGAGGCAGGTCCTCCAGAATCCAGAACACCTGCCTGGGCCTTCTGGTGGCTTATTTTTTTTGTTTTGTTTTTTGGTACCAGAGATTGAACTCTGGGACCTTGCATTTGTGAGTGGGCCTTCTCTGTAGTTGGCAGTGTTCCTAAGCCCTCCGCACCTCTTGTTGAGAGTTTGAGCCCGGGGAAGGCAGCCAGCGAAGAAAACTGACCTGGAACCTGAGCAGTCCTGCGGGGACGGAGGAGCTCATGTTGCTGTAGATGTTTGCTGTTGCTTGCCAGTCAATTGGGTCGCCCTGTCCCTCTCAGACACTTGCTTTATGGTAGCAGACACTTATGAACATCTCATGAAGGTTTCCTGTGTGTGTGTGTGGTTCTGGGGGCCTCACCCATGCTAGGTATTCTCTCTGCCATTGAGCTACACCCCGGGCCAACTCTCCTCTTGGTAAATACCTCAGAGCTTTCTGCTGGTAAGGGCACTGGGGCCTCACGGGGAAGGGAGGATTTTCCCCATGTCTGTGGTGGACAAATAGATTCAAGAGGATTAAAGGGGCCAGGTGTGGTAGCATATAACTGTAATCCCAGCACTCAGGAGGCTGAAGCAGGAGAATCATGAGTTTTGTTTTTTGTTTTTGAGACAAAGCCTTGCTATGTAGTTCAAGCTGGCCTCAAACTCCCTGTAGCCCAGGCTGGCCTGGAACTCAAAATCCTCCTGCCTCAGCCTCCCAAGTGGTGGGATTACAGGCATGGACCACCATTCCTGGCTTCCATAATGAGTTTTAAAGTCAGCATGGCTACATAGACCCAATCTCAAATCAAAACATACCCATTTGTCCAATGGCTCAATGAGCAGAGGTAAATTGGGCCCAACAGTCACCCTGACTTCTGGTCTGGCGTGTTACTAAATCTCATAAAATTCTCAGAGGGAGCACCTGAAGATCCATGGCTAGGTTAAGGGAACCCAGCCCCTGAAAGCATCCACCTGGAAGTGTCATTCTGGGTGTAGGTTCTCTTCACCACCTGGGTTCTCCGTGGGAGGAAGGAATTGGCACCAATGGCCTCATCTCTAGGTGAGACTGCCCTGAGCCCAGGTGTGCCCCAAGCCACGTGGTCCCGGGCAGGCCATTTCCTCCCTGGGCTTCAGTTGGGTGGGTCCCCTCAGGCTACTGTCTTCCCTCCGGTCATTGTGGTGTCCAAGCTTGTAACACTGGCACTGGGCAGGGCAAATCGAGTCAATCCAGTCTGGGCCTGGCTCCAGGCACAGTGCAAGGGATCAGACACGGGGCCTCCCTCCCAGGCCTGTACTCTACCACTGCACTGTGTCCCCAGCCTCAGGGAACCAAGCACCCCTGCCCCTGGTTTGAGGTGAGTATAACATCTGAGCCTGTGACCAGCTCAGCAGCGATGTGTTGTGGTGGGTCAGGCTTGGCAAAGGTAGAGTAAGGGCTGAGGAACCGGGCACCTCCTGACTGTTGCCACTCGGGGAGTATCAGAGAGGAGGCCAGAGAGGGCGCTCGCTCGGGAGGAACCCCAGCCTCTTCCTGTGCTCAGCCTCCATCTGGGCCCAGCCCCACCATTACTTCGGCTTCCCCTCAGCCTCCAGCTCCACGAATGTCCAGAGGATGTGGGCAGACCAACTCGAGCCCTTTCCCACCCCAGAAAATTACAGGTCAGAAGAGGCAGGAGCTTGGGGTGGGGCCCAGCAGGATAATAAAGAGGGAAGCCAGGAATGAGCAAGACCTGGCTCCGCCACTTGGGAGCCATGACCCAGGAAAGAGCCCTTCATCTCTCTTGGCCTCAGTTCCCTGCTTTGCAAAATGGGCCTTTTCTAGGCCAGGTGGCAGTGGGGACATGGATTCACACTTCAGTTAGGAGAATTAAGCATCAGTGCCTAGAGAGTTGGACACGCGTGGGGTATAGGTGACTGCTCTCCTCAGTTTCTCCCAGTCTCGCCCTTTGGGGGTCTCTGGTGGTGCCTGCTTCTCCACTCCATCCTCAGGGCTCCTGCAGTGCTTCAATTGATCTGTGAATTATGCTCCCAGCCTGGGTCTGCCCCCAGCCCTCCGCTGGACCCTCTGTAGGTCATCGCGTTTTCCCCTCAGATGGACAAGAAGAGACAAATGTTCTGGGTGACTGGGCCCTGCCCTGCTTGCCGCTCCTTTTGCCTCTCCTTTTGTAACTGTCCCAGGCCTTAGAGGTAGCCCTCATCCCCCCTTCCTCTACACAGTCCCAGGTCACATACATGGAGGTCACCCTGAGAACTAAAGGCGGGGCAGCCGTAAGAACTGGACTGCGGTCTCCCAGCCCACTTAACTGAGCCACTCACCCCCACCAACTTCTGCCCCAGGCTCCCAGCCCCAAAGTGTCACCTGGGGCTGGAAGGAGCTACACCAGCGGTGGATGTCTTCCTCTGGCCCTTCCTGCTGGGCTATGTGTGGGACAGGGGCCTTCACTGCTTGCTCCTTTACACCACTGAGGCCTTCAGATGGGAAAGGTAGGGTTGGTGTGGCTGCCCTGGGAGGGGAGGTGTAGATGGGGACAGACAGGGTACAAGGCCCCAGAGGTAAGAGAAGTATGAGGCTGGGCCCGAAAGGCCGCAGAGCCTGGGGAAGGCGCTGAGGGCTGTTCTTGGGCCTGCACAGTGCTGATGGCTCAAGCCTACTTGGCCCTAGGGTCTGCCCTTACGCAGCATGATCAGGGACCAGGAGCAGCAGGAGAACACCCTCTAGTCCAAGCCTGGAATTCCCTGGGACGCGAGGGGTCAGCATGCAGAGTTCGTTCACAACGCTGTCTTTCTCCCTGAGAGCCTCCTCTTGTGGGTGCAAACAGGTACTGCTCCTGCCCCCTCCCCTGCTCCCCATCTCCTCTCTGCTCCGTCACCAGCCACCCAGAAAGCACACAGGCTGTGCACCACGCTCTTCTACAACGTCACCGTCCTCAAACCAGAAGGGGTCTCAAGGGGTGTGTGTCTGAGGGGTTCACACTGACCCAAGTGGGTGGACAGGACAGAAGGAGGCTAACACTGAGTCTTTAAAAGATGGAGGGGAAGCTGGGCATGGTGGTGCACACCTGTAATCCCAGCACTCAGGAGGCTAAGGTAGGAGGATCTCTGCAAATTTGAGGCCAGCCTGAAATACATAACCAGACCTTGTCTCCAAGAAAACAAAAAGAGTAGAAATAGCTGGGAAGGTTCAAGGTGAACTCAGGTGGGAAATGCTTTAGTAAAAGTCGGCAAAGCTGTGTTCTTAAAAAACTACTGGGGGAGCCAGGCAAGGTGGCACATGCCCATAACTCCAGTACTAAGGAGACCAAGGCAAGAGGATTACAAATTGAAGCCAGCCTGGACAATTTACCAATTTGGTGAGACCCTGCAAGGGCCAGAGGGATAGGTCAGTGCAAAGGCCCTGGTTCAAGCCTCTGCGCAGCAAGTACATACATACATGCCTTTAAAAATGCTGTATTTGGGGTGCGGAGAATTATCAATTTCCCAATTCATAGAGAATGCGGCACAAAAGGACAAGTTGATTCCCAGTACAGACAGACCTTAACTGAAGTAGACCTGGCGTACCATAGAAATGACAGTGTCAGAGTTGGAAGAGACCATACAGGCCATCTGCTGTACACACAGGAAAGCCAAACCGCCAGGTAGCAGAGGATTCCAGTGCAGCTCAGCAGGATCACAGACTCCAAACCCAGCTCCAGCTTTTCCTGCTGCAGAACAAGCAAACGGCAACACAGTAAAGCTCCTTTGGCACAGCCAACTGTGACCCAGGTCTACACTGCCACAAAAGTTACTAACGTGGGAGAACACTTGCCCTGTGACTCCTGGAAGTAGCAAATTCCTTAGAGGCGTCAACAAAAAAAAAAATTTTTTTTAAGACAAGGTCTCACTAAATTGCCCAGGATGGCCTCAAACTTGCAATCTCCCTGTGTCAGCCTCCCAAACCGGGATTATAGGTTTGTGCAGCTGGCCAGTAGTCTGCAGTTTTCAGCTTGGCTTGGTTTGGTGTGCATGTGTGTATAGTTCTGTGAGCTTTAACAGTGTGGATTTGTGCCGTTAGTGCGGGCAGCCCGGCGGAAGCTGCGAGACCCTGCCCTCCACGCCTGTCCTTCCACTTCGGCGAGCCCCGGAGCACGCATGCGTGGTGAGAGCCCCTGCATGACTCAGCCCCCCTCTGTCAATCGCCCCTGTCCACCAGACCCAGAGACCCACAGAAGCGCTGGGCTAGGGTGCACCTCCCAGAAACCCGAAAGCTTGATTTGTGC